GCAATCTCTGTAGAGGGGCATAGATCCTGCAGGAGTATTCTGCTACTGCTAATGGGATCACCTACTTAATAGGGCTCCCCATGAGGCCTAAGGGAGAGGGAGAAATGGAGGGAAAGGGGACAGGCCTGAGAGAGGAGGGTGGAGTCTAGACAGAAATTGATTGGGACCCTCTCTGCAGGTGGCTGGGTTGCAGCCCTGTGACTCCACCTGCTGAGGCTGCTTCATCCCCTCATCTAGTAAGGAATCCTGGCATTGGAGCTGCAGCTGTGGGAAGGTATGGACTTTTTATAGGGGGGCAGTGAAAAGCAAAACAGTGTAGAGGGGAAAGACTAGTTGTGTTAGAGTCTCTTTTTCTACACACACCCCTTTTTCTCCTTTGGTTTTTGCTGGATGAGGGTGGCAACTTGGCTTTAGTGTACTTTTTCATGTGGCCATGGGAGCAGCTGTGCAATTCCTCCTCTTTGTTTTTCTCTTCACTCAATGTGGTAAGTGAGTCCCTCCTTGTTCCAGCTCAAGGGCATGAAAGCAGAGACTGTAAGAAGCCGTGGTGCTGGGCTAGGCAGAGCTCTGCCCAGGAGGCTGTACTGGAATTCTCATTGAGCCCCTGCATAAGGCCAGAATGGCGTTGCAGGACTTTAGAGGGTTATTTTCTCAGTCTAGAGAAGAGGCAAGAACCCTGTGCCCCTCTGCATGGACCAATTTATGCCTCAAAACATAGGGTTGTGCCATGTGACTTTATAACTTGTGAGCCAAGTTCCAAACCAAGTGAGAAACTTGGTCAAAGCTTAAAGTTTGTGCTGCCAAATGTCAGACCATGACACTTAAAAATCCCCTCTGGGTGGTTTGCTTCACAATTGTTCCCCTTTCCGTGCCCCTTATAACTTTGTCTCTTGGTGGCTGATATCAGTGATGAAATGTAGTCCAGTGTAATAGGAGTGGGTTGTATACTGTGTGTCTTCTTGGCATCTCAACCATGTCAGTCCCTGATCTCCATGTGCAATGGTTAACTAGAGCAGGGGTTCTCAAACTTCATTGCACTGTGACCCCCTTCTGGCAACAAAAATTACTACATGACCCCAGGAGGGGGGACCAAGGCCTGAGCTTGCCCAAGCCCTGCTGTCCTGGGTGGTGGGGCCAAAGCCCCAAGGGCTTCAGCCCCAGGCAGGGGGCCTGTAACCTGAGACCATCACCCGGGGCTGAAGCCCTCAGGCTTCCGCCTGAGTGGTGGGGCTTGGGCTTCAGCCCCGGGTGGTGGGGCTTGGGTTTCAACTTTGGCCCTGGAGACTCCATTAAAATGGAGCTATGACCCACTTTGGGGTCCTGACCCACAGTTTGAGAACTGCTGAGCTAGAGAAATTCTGCATGATCAATTATATAAACTGCTGTAATTTGAGCAGGAGCAACTGTTACCCCTTCCCTGTACTACTTATCTGCTACAACACCTGTTCTTTTTCTTCTTTCTTCAGGAGAGATCCCCAGTCAAGTTAAACTGTAATGTGTTACAAATGATGATAAATAGGCTGAATCCACTAAACTTAAACTGGTAACTTAAGAATGCTCTGAACGAGCTGGGGCTCAGAGCAATGTTCTCCAGCTGTTATTGTTTGTGTTCATAAAGCCTTCCTACCTGTCCTCCTTTATTAGTTAAAATACTAATGAATCTATGCCTTGACCCCCAAGACCTTCACTAGATTATAAGGGACTCTTCTTCCCAGAAACACTTCTGGGGGAGAGGGGTAAAATGGTGCATGTTGGAAGCACAGTAAATTCTCCAGAGCAGAGGATGTCAGGAAGGTAACATTGTACAGGGGAACCTCGTGGCCCTCAGAGCAACTTACAAATGTTTTTCACATAAAGATCACAATAAATAAGCTTGGAAGGATTAGATATTGGTTTCACTGTGCGCACACAAATGATGAGAAATATTTCCATCAATAACTTAAATTTACAGATAGGCAAAATAAGAAAAATGCTCTTTGAGAGCTGAGTTTGATTTGATATTTACTTTGTATGTTTTGACATGGGACGATGCCAATTTGTGTTTTTAATGGTTATAAAGCTTTAGTTTTTGAATCTTGTCTACTGTCCTCAAATAATTATCTGACTTCCCTGATAATTTTGGGAAACTGAAAAAATTTAAATGGATAAAAATTAAAAATATATTTTCTGTTGAAATCAATAAAAAAAAAAAAAAAATTCTGCCAAACCTAACGCTAAAAAGCCTGGCTGGAAATGATGTAATTAGCTGTGAGACTATCTAGCATAGCTAATTCTCTATGGTGCTTGCTATTCCTCCCTCCCTTGTTAGCATTGTCTCTCTTCCCACCTAGCTCAATGGTCATCTCCCATGAAAGCCTGTTTATTTTCCACTGCTTGCAACGTGGCAGGACTGTTGTTAAGACAACAGTGCCCTTAGGCATATGCATTCTGGAGTCCCTTGTCTATACAGCCGACCCACCAAGCATGGGCCTAGTTATAAATAAGAGGGATTTACCCCAATCAGAAGGCTTTGAATGCTGCTGCCTCTTTCTGAGCTTTCTGGAATCATTCAGGGCCTTTAGCCTAGTGGTGGCAGGGAGCGGAAAACACTTTTCTGGAGACTCAGTGGTAACAAAATTTAGTTTAAAAGCAAGAAGAAAATATTTTTATGCTCTGGGTAGGGACTCCAGCTTGTTTCTTTGTAGAAAACATTGTGGGAATGGAAGCTTCTTCTGGAGAGATGCTGATTCCCAACTATTTACCATCCTAGTCTCAATTCCACAGGACAAGTTCTCTATATGGCTCCCCACAAAAGTCATAGATGAGGAAATGTGGGGCTTTAATTTGGTTTGAACTCATACAAAGCTTTCTAAAACCTCCATGGCGTGATCCTTCATTTCTGATGCCAATGGTGATTAGCCAAATTAAAGAATGAGCAAACAAAACCCCTTTGGGTTTGTGTGGAACCAAGATAAAAATGGGGTCTCCAATGAGAGACATTTGTCAACAGGGCAGTGTTAGGGGTAAAGGAGTGTAGAACCCTGTTCCATAGCATCTGCTTGTGAAAGAGCCAATGACATTTAGTAACTAGATTCTGGTCTCTGTTGGACCAGTATTGATTGGGAATGACTTCCAAGGAGTTACTTCAGGCTGATGCCAGTGAAAATGAGATCAGAATCCAGCCTTTAATGTGTGTGTATATAAGCACAAAGCTGTGGCAACTTGGCATTCTGTCTAGGCTAGAACTGAATTACTATCCGGTACTTTTAGGTTTCACTTTGCGTGTGTTTCATTTGTGGGGGGGGGGGGGGGAAGTTCCACCTGTCAAGTGTTCCTGTGGGAAGTGTTGGCCTTGAACTAATGATGTAGTGCTTACAGCCCACTCAGGTGCAGGAACAGACCAGCTGAGTGGTGCAGAAGAATTGCTGTTGTCTCATCAGGGGAGGAGCCAGAATGCTGAAGATCTATCTGTCTCTGAACCATCCAGCCTGGGGATACGGGACCCTGGTATGAGGAGTTACCATTCAGTAGCTCTTTTCTTTGTGTCTCAGATCTTTACAATCACTTGTGTATACTGTTAACTGTGATTAATAACTTTCTGCAGTGGATAAGATGAAGAGGGGTTTCTTCAGGCCCCAGCATGTCTTCTGCCAGGTCTGTGAAACAAGTACGTTATTTTCTGCTGGGTGATTTCCCCTCCCCCCCCCCCCCCCCCAAAAAAAAACACCCCATAAATGAGATTGCAACAGATTTATTTTGAACTTCCTGGTTTATTACAGTACCTAAAAGCAAACCAGACACAACTGGCCACAATCCTATTTTCCCTCTGTTTGTCCCTCAAGTTTCAAAGGTACAATTGCTTCTCAAATGGATTCTCTTTGAACTGCTTGTCAACTTGAAGCAAAAGATTGTAAGCTGAGCCTGTTCAATTCAGCCAGAGAGAGAGGATCTTTCATAACTGACTCTAGCTGGCCCCTTTGTGTACTGCGCAAGGGGCTTTTTAAACTTGAAAGTAGTAAATACTCAATTAAATATTTAATATTGCAGAGCTCTCTTGGGTACTGAAAAAATAGACTAAACAGGCCAGCACTATATCCCATAGCACTTGTTAGGTAACTTTACAAGTGCCAATAACATTTGATCAGTAATAGTTTTGTCATCTTTATTCTTTCTTCAACTGCTGAGTGAATGAATAGCTTTGATACATTTGATGGCAGCTGAATTAACTATTAAGCACCATCACACTTAAGACAAATTGACTTCAGTCTCTCGCACATTCTGATTTATTCTCTAGACACACCATTCCTGTGCGCTCTATATATTCTACACCTGAGTTCGCTTCATTTTGGAAGTCAAACTTAGTACAGTAGAACCTCAGAGTTACGAACACCTTGGGAATGGAGGTTGTTCGCAACTCTGAAATGTCTGTAGCTCAGAACAAAACGTTATGGTTGTTCTTTCAAAAGTTTACAACTGAACATTGACTTAATACAGCTTTGAAACTTTACTATGCAGAAGAAGAATGGTGCTTTCCTCTTTTTTTAAAAAGTAGTTTACATTTAACACAGTACTCTACTCTATTTGCTTTTTTGGTCGCTGCTGCTGCTGCCTGATTGCATACTTCCAGTTCCAAATGAGGTGTGTGGTTGAGTGCTCAGTTCATAACTCTGGTGCTCATAACACTGAGGTTCTACTGTTGAAGGCGGCAGTTCTCAACCTTTCCAGGCTACTGTATGCCCCTGATTCATCTTGCATACCCCCAAGTTTCACCTCGGTTAAAAACTACTTGCTTACAAGATCAGACCTAAAAATATAAGTGTCCCAGCCACACTATTACTGAAAATTTTCTTACTTTCTCATTCTTACTGTATAATTATACAATAAATCAATTGGAATATAAATATTGTACTTAGAGCAGTATACACAAGTCATTGTCTGTATGAAATTATAGTTTGTACTGACTTCACTAGTGCTTTTTATGTAGCCTGTTGTAAATCTAGGCAAATATCTAGATAGGTTGATGTATCCTGAGGGGGAGGGGGAGAGTGTACCCCTGATTGAGAACCACTGGTTTAAGGCTTTGTAATCCAATACTTAAACATGCAATACCCAGTATTGGCCACTAGGGGTTCTGTTAGAGGTTGATTACAGAATCAGCTTTATGTCCTACTGAGACTCCCGAGGCTGTACACTCCTATGTATCAATGTTGTTTCAGTGCATAACCTTTTCCTTTCTGTCTGGTGTAGGATTGAAATGTGGAGTTCGTCCTGTTGACTTGGAGAACCAGAAAAGTTTCCTGCTGTCTGGATTCTTTTCTAGAATTGTTGGAGGCAGAAATTCAGTGGCTGGGGGGCAACCCTGGCAGGTCTGTGACACAAATACAGTAACTTCTTGAGGGAGAGGTGATTTTTTTTTTTTCCAAGGCATAGACAATAACTGAGAGGATGCCTTCATTCAGTAAGGAGCCAAATACCCTTTTTCAACCTGTATCTTAATTTAAAATCCCTCTTCTCCCTTAATCCCTGAAGTTACTAAAGTACAAGTTGCTCACTGTTTTGGGGACCAGAGTTTTAGGTGGAGTAAATTCACTGAATTCAGTGGTGCTATGCTGAGTTACATCAGCTGAAGATCTAGTCCTGAATGTTTAATGTACATGGTATTTTTGTGTCTGAACTGGTCCCCAAAAGCACATCCCTGTCAAAGGATTTGGATGTAATCTGTGGGGTGGATTAGTTTGAGGGATTTTTCCCCTATAACTGATAACTCTGAGGTTACGTCTGACCTTCAGGGAATAAGTTCCAAATTGTTATGCCTCCAACATACAAAAATTGTCCCGTTCATATAAGGAAACAGCCCACATTTTAATAACAGTATTGCGTACTGGCCTTCTGTTGGCTGTAAGAGTCCTAACATTCATCTGTCGCTTCTTCATAGTAGCTCAAAATGCTGGATTAGCTGTATTTGTGGTGGAGGAATTCTTGCCTAATTGGTTCTTCTGTTGGCAAAGTCAGAGAAGTCTCACTTCACAGAAATGTTCTCACTCTGCAAACTTAAATTCATGTAATAAAAGGATTGGGTCACTGCTTCCAGACTTTCATTTTGAAGCAAATTAGCAATTTTTGACACTGTAACATTACTACTTCCTGTTACTATGGTCCTATCTTCACCCCATGAAACAATTTCTGGTGATACATAACAGTAAGAAGGAAGAACAAAATTCTCCCTCTAGGCACTTCTGCATTTCAGGGAATTCCAAGTTTCGATCCACACTCTGCTTCTTCAGCTCTTCCCAAATAACTGTGAAATGAGGGATAGCTATCAAGGGTGAGTCCACAATTTAGACAACATTTCTCTGGACACCAGTCAGCTGGGAATCCTTGTCTAGAAATGAGAGGGTTCTAAAACCTTTTTTTTTTTTTTTTTTTTGTAGCACTGCCGTCTGTCATGATCTGGGGGAGGGTGGAGAACTTCCTCAGATCTTTGTGAGATTTCAGATGTTCTTTTGGAGGGCAGTATAACTAGCTCCACCTTAAATGTGTGTGACTTTCTTTTTGTAAAGGTATCTCTCAAGTTGGGTCGTTTCCACTTCTGTGGTGGCAGTTTAATACAAGAAGATGTGGTTGTAACTGCAGCTCACTGCGTATTCACCCTTGAGCAGTAAGTTAGAGAATGCTGTTTTTGTCTTTAGCCTTTAAGTTACTTCGTTAAAGCCCCTGTCTATTAGTAAGGAAAGCTCCATAATGTTAGTGTGTGCCGCTTCCCAGCTGGAGAAGAAAATGGCATTAGAACATCTGAAGTAGGGCCGTGCTACGCTACTCTCATGTTCTTTGTGGAGCAATAGCGTCTAATCCAGGGGTCCTCAAACTGGGGGTCAGGACCCCTCAGAGGGTCGCCGGGTTATTACATGGGGGGGGGTCGTGAGCTGTCAGCCTCCACCCCAACCCCGCTTTGCCTCCAGCATTTACAATGGTGTTAAATACATTAAAAAATGTTTTTAATTTATGGGGGGGGGGTGGTCTCACTCAGAGGCTTGCTATGAGAAAGGGATCACCCGTACAGAAGTTTGAGAACCACTGGTCTAATCCATTGGATTCTTCCAACTGTTTCATTCTGCAAGCTACTTCAGGAGCTATAGATCTTAATGGCTCTTCTCCATGGCTTAATTTGTGCTGGGGCTTGCAAGGGCAGTTCATAGTCCCAGCACCTCTGGGCTCGCTGAACCTTTTATGAAAGTAAAAAAAAAAAATTGCTTGAGCCCTGGCACCTCTTTCATTACAAATTAAGCCCTGCTCTTCACCCCTCCCTAAACCCTAGCTGCCCACTCCATGGTTCTCAGACTATTTCACCTGATTACTGGTGGTTTACAGATGGCAATTTAAAACCTTCACCATTCTCTACATGGATTAAATAGTAGTAGAGCTCATAATGGCTGGGACTCTGACTTTGCTAGCTGAGTATTGTACTTTGAGTGAACATACTCTGTCCAAAGAAGGAGCTTTTACTGAGGGCTTGTCTACACTCCCCGCCGGATCGGCGGGCAGCAATCGATCCAGCAGGGGTCGATTTATCGCTGCGCCTGATCTGTGACTAAATGGGGGATTTCACTCTCCGGGACTGGAAACCTGGTACCTTTCATACTATACTGGCACTAGAAAAGGTTCAGAAAAGGGCAACTAAAATGATTAAGGGTTTGGAACAGGTCCCATATGAGGAGAGATTAAAGAGGCTAGGACTCTTCAGCTTGGAAAAGAGGAGACTAAGGGGGGATCTGATAGAGGTCTATAAAATCATGAGTGATGTGGAGAAAGTGGATAAGGAAAAGTTATTTACTTATTCCCATAATACAAGAACTAGGGGTCATCAAATGAAATTAATAGGCAGCAGGTTTAAAACAAATAAAAGGAAGTTCTTCTTTGCGCAGCGCACAGTCAACTCCTGGAACCCCTAACCCGAGGAGGTTGTGAAGGCTAGGCCTAT